CACTTGGCCACATTGAACCCCATTTGCCATGTTGACACCGACTTGCCCATCCTTGACAGATCCCTTCGGAGTGCCTCACAATCCTCACTGGTTTTCGCCACCCTGAACAACTTCGTATCATCCGCAAATTTAGCAACTTCACTGCTTACTCCCAACTCCAAATCATTAATGAACAAGTTAAAAAGCAGTGGACCAAGTACTGATCCCTGCGGTACCCCACTGCAGGATTACTCCTGAGCAGCTGGGTACAAGCATGACCATTAGGCATGTGCCTATAAAAACCAGCCAAGGGAGGCTGTTAGGTGTGGAAGCAACAAGTCACTGCTGACTTTGTGACCACGGCACCAGACCTTTCCTTGCTTGTGGAACTCCTAGACTGGCTCTTGACCTCACTTCTCAGCTCTGTGATCTCTGCTCTTGAGAAACTGTTGGACTGCCTGATTATGCCTCTTGGACACCACTTTGGTAATCACTTTCTTGGCTCTGGAACTGAACCCCTGACTAGGCTTCTTGCATTTGGACCCATGCTACCTGCAGGGTATGTACACTGGCTCTGCCTGACTTGTGACAATCCCTTGAGATGCCCCAACCCCAAAATATTGATGGTAATATCTTTTGCTTCTTCCACAGCAGCACTTCTTATGCCATTCATGTCTGCTTTCCACTTGTCTGAAAAGCTCATCAATCTGCCTGACCATTACTAGATCCTATCTCTGCACTGAAATATTATCTGGCAACCTATGATTACTTTTTTCCCAGCAGCCCTGAAGAATCTCATACTGCCTTGCAGTATCCATGGTCAAATAAAGTGAGTTTTCATTTCCTTGGACCCAGAAATTCTCTTGCTGCATCCGCCTTCTTAAAGTCCAGCCTCCCATTTGATAGGCTTCTGCAGAGAGGCTGACAGCCAGTGTACTTAGATTCCTACAGTGAGATAGCTGCACATCTATCCCTCTGCAGTAGCTGGTGCTGATTCACTATAGCCACAAAGCTGGGGGCCCAAACAGTTCCTTAGGAAGGCAAAGACATTATTCCTTGACCCATAAAGGTGTTTGCATCTTTGATCCTAGAACATGAGCAACGTGACCTTTTGTCATGGAATACTGGGATTTTTTTTGTCTATGGAGGAAACATCATCCAGCCATTAGATAACATTATCCAGTGTGGGTTCTCTTTCACTTAACCACCTAAAATCAATCTCCCACTCCAGTTTTGCAATTAATTTGACTACTGCTTCCCCCCCTTCCGTTCTCTGCTTTCCAGCGTTCCAATTAGTGCCAAAGATCCATCTGAATCACCTCTGCTTTTTGACAGCACAAACCCATTGACTTCAGAGAGCCAGTTTGGTGTAGCAGTTAGGAGCGCAAACTCTAATCTGGGAGAACCGGGTTTGATTCACCACTCCTCCACATGCAGCTGCTGGTATGACCTTGGATAAGTCACAAGTTCTCTCACAGCTGTTCTCTCAAGGGCAGTTCTTGAAAGAATTCTCTCAGCCCCACCTACCTCACAGGGTGTCTGTTGTGGGAGGGGAAGGGAAAGGAGATTGTAAACCGCTCTGAGACTTCTTCAGGTACTGAAGGGCGGGATATAAATCCAATCTCCTCCTCCTCCTCCTTCCTTAGAAAGATGCAGGGCTATTTTTGGGCAGGAATACACAGGCACTTTAGGATTGGCTACAATTAGGGGGTGTGGCCTAACATGCAAAGGAGTTCCTGTCCCCCCCCCCAAAAAAAAGCCCTGGGTTTTGACGACAAACAAGGTAAAGAGAATAAGAAGCAAAAGGTGGGTGTGGTTGGATGACCACACTTCTGGTAACATGGGGGTGTGGCCTAATATGCGAATGAGCTGTGTGGTCAGGGGTGTGACCTAATATGCTAATGAGTTCCTGCTGGGCTTTTTCTACCAAAAAAGCCCTGCAAAGATGTAACTTGGCTTAGGAGTTTTGGAGCAAACAGAGACGTTTTTAGGTACCCAAACTATCTGAGTTAAGCCTTCATAGCATCTATTCCATTTTATGACCCCAACAGACCTCGGCCTTCCCTCATGACCAGTGGCATACTTTTCTCCCCCACATGTACACACTTTCAGAGGGAGGTTCAGCATCAGCCTGAAGAAGAGCCCTGCCGAACTCAAAAGTCCGCTCACTGCTTTGTGATGCTTTGTTCATCCAGATAAAGGTATTATTGTTCCTTTGGGGTTCAATAGACCAGGAGTTTGGTAACAGTGGGAAACAGCAAGGCAGGTCCTATATTTTTGTTTATTTTAATACCACATTTCAAAATGAGTATTCCAGAATAAATAAATCAATAAAGGGGAGTTGTCATCTCACAATGGAAACTGTGTCTCGGGATGAGGGAGAGGAGCCAGGCTGTGGTTTTTCTCCCCGATAGCCCAGTCCATTACATTTGTGAGGTTATGGGTGGGATCTGGTATGCAAAGGATCTAGACGAATAGCCTACAGTGCTCCATAGTCCAAGGCTGGTTGTGATTCCATAGACCCCAGCATTTGTTTCCTTTACCATGCAACGCTAAGAACAGTTTTTTGGGGGAGTAGACCCCACTGAAATCAACCTGAGCAGGATTCTGATTAGACTTGCTTAGGATTGTTCTCTTAATCAAAGGAACTGTCATTGTGCTTTGTGGTATCTGTGCCATAGAAACAGGAGTGACAAGGAAGAACCACAAGTTGTGAAAGAACAACAGAAAGCTGTTGACAGTCCTAGTCATGGTAGTATATTTTTTTAACACCGATTTGACACAAAAGGTTGGGATGAGGGAGGAAGCATTCTGATCCCCGGTTTCTCCATCTGCTGATGTGGCTCCCAAGTGGCCTAATGTTGCATTTCTGAAAAAGAAATAGACACAAGGCAGAGTGTGGTGTGGCTGTTATTGTTCTGGTATTACCGGAGAGATCTGTGTTCCAATCCCCACTCTTCCATGGTACACCAGGTGATCTGGGACCTGTCATCATCCCTCAGGCCAACCCAGGGTGGTTGTGATGATAAAATGGGGGGGGAGCATGTATGCCCTGAGCTTCTTGAGTTTAGACCCACCAGTGACTCTTATTCATTACAAGTTAGTGACCCACAAGGAGTCATTATAGGAAGGGAACTCCACACTACCACATCTCCATTCTAGGATTCAAGAAGCTCTGGAGCAGGTTTCTCTTCCCCATCTCCCTTTGACCAGCACGCAACATTGCATGCGCTTTGGCCATATTCACTCTTCATCAGTCTGTTTTCAAGAAAGGAGCACCCTTTTCCTCTGGTTAACTTACACAACCATTTTTTTCTGCATATCCATGTCATCCTCCAAGCAGGAGGGAAACCCCTACCGTGCGCCTGTTGGTGAGCTGACATGATTGTGCTGCTGAAGGGTCTGAGACCAGCAGAGGTGCCGGGGCTTGTCTGTGGTTGGCCCTGTCTACTTGGGAGCCTCCAGGGCAGCAGCCCACTGGGGACTTCCCCAGTAAGCTAAATGGCCAGTCCACCCAACTGGTCTGATCCAGCAGCACTGCTGCTCTTAACTTCAAATATCTATCATCTATCTATATACTCCTCCTAAAACATAAGCTGGGATGGATCCAGGTGGTCAGCCGTGTTGGTCTGAAACAGTGGAACAAATTTTGAGTCCAGTGGCACCTTTAAGACCAACAAAGGTTTATTCAAGGTATGAGCTTTTGTGTGCACGCACACTTTTTCAAATAAGTTTGAACCTTACCTCCCATTCCATTGGATTTGAAAAAGTGTGCGTGCACACAAAAGCTCATACCTTGAATAAACCTCTGTTGGTCTTTAAAGTGCCACTGGACCCTAACTTTGTTCATAAGCTGGGATGGTTGCTGGACAAGTGTGTGTTGTGTGTGTGTGTATGAAGTGCCATCAAGTCACAGCCGACTCATGATGACCTCAGCAAAGGGCTTTGAGGGCGAGTGAGAAGCAGAGGTGGTTTGCGGTTGCCTTCCTCTGCAGAGTCTTCCTCGGTGGCCTCCCTTCCACGTACCAGCCTTGCTTAGCTTCTGAGATCCTGGCATACAATGTCGCCTCCGCCAGACAACTTTCTCAGCAGCTTGATTAATTAGGAACAGCTTTGGGGTCTATTAAACGAGGTCTGGTCGATTCAGCGAACCCACTTAGCTGACTCGAGGCTGCGGCCCAAATTATTTCGATAGGGCGCTGTTCTCACCCTGCTTTCGAGGCAGAGAGAGAGAAGAGCGGGCGGACGAGGCCACTTAGCGAGTTTCTATCTGGCGATCGAGGCTCGCAATTCGGCAGCAGAGACTTCCCGGCTCAGGGCGTAGATTTCTCTCAGCCAGCCAGACTTACTCGGGGACAGGATCGGGACGCATCCCTTCCACCGGGAAAGCAAGTCTGGAAGGAGAGGCGCTGGGAAGCGGCTTGGCTGGCAGGATCGGGGGGGGGTTCTCCCCCGCCCCCCGTGGTGAAAGTGGGCTAGAAGATTTTGCCTGAGTCCCCACCAGTTCCTCTCTCCCGCTGAATTGAGTTGACGAGGTAGGTGAAGAAGCGCCTGCCCATCCCAACTTTCCCCACGAGTGCGTCTCCCCCCCGGCTTGGCTGGCAGGGAAGCTGGCCTCGCCCCGATCTGCACTACGGGGGCGGGGGGAGCGCCCGAAAGAGGCGCCTTTTGGAAACGCGCCTCCTCCGCCTGGGAGCAGCCGGGGCTGTTCCCCGAGACGTGCAGGGGCCCTTTAAGCTCTCCTCCGCCTCCCCGGTGTAGCTCCCCCCACCGGCCGGTGGCCCCGCCCCGAGGGCCTTGGCACGTCCCCGATTGGTGGGCAGGGCCGGTGCCTTTGAAGTGTGCTGCAGATCCGAGCTATTTGACGTGTGGCTCCGGGAACGGGAAGGCTTTTTTCCCCCCCGTCTCGTTGGGGCCGGTGCCGTCGCCCTCGCCGCCGCCGCCGTCGCCACGACGCCCCTGCCCGGGTCTGCGCGCTGCGGTGCTCGCCTCTTCTCCTCCCTCTCCCCCCCTCCCCAGCCCAGCCCGACCCCACCCCCGCCCTGCCCGGCTCGCTCCCCCAAATGAGCGGTTCGCCCGCTGGATCTAACGCAAGGACATCGCCCAGCGGCGGCAGCAGCAGCAGCGGAGGAGGAGGAGGCGGCAAGAGCGCGGCGGCCCCCAGCCCTCCCGCAGCCCAGTCTCCGGGAGCCGCGTGCCCGGCGCTCTCGCACCTGCCCCCGGACGACCCCCTGCGCCAGGCGAACCGGCTCCCCATCAGGGTCCTGAAGATGCTGAGCGCCCACAGCGGACACCTCCTGCACCCGGAATACCTGCAGCCCCTCTCCTCCACGCCCGTCAGCCCCATCGAGGTCAGTGCCCCCCCCCTCTCCCCAGACCGTCCGCCGGCGAACTGGGGCGCTCGGGACTCCGGAGGGTCCCCCCCCCCTCGCGAGGGTTTCGCTCGCCTGCTGCGGGCTTCCGCGGAGGGCTGCGGCCCCTTTCCCTCGAGTCCCGCGTCGGTTTAGGGGGCCCCGCCCTAGGACTGTGTTTTCCCCGGGCTTGGCTGGAAAAGTCCGCCGGACTCGCTCTCTTCCTTCGTCTCCTTGAATTTGCTGCGGAGACACCGGGGAAGCCTTCCCTTGTCCTAACTTGCCAGATTCTCTGTAACCCAGCCCTACGTCGGAAGTCGCTTGGAGTGGGGTACTTCTGATCCTTTTTTCAAGGGGGGGAGAGTTGGTTGGTTAAATCTTTGTGATCGAGGGATGCAACTTTTACGAGGCAGCAGTCCCGAGCTTCCCGGCACCATTCCCGAGCTCTTGTGGCTACGCGGGATTATTATATAAATGGATCGGGGAAGGCGAGAGAGAGAAAGAGTTTGGATCTTTTCCCCGCTCGGGGCGCTGGAGGGAGGAGGCTCTTTCCGAGAGCAGGCGGCTGCTCGCTGAGTCTGGACCCCCCCGAAGTGGCGAACGTCCAGGGGAAGTGGCCCGCCGGTGGCGGCGGCGGCTGGTTTTGCTGGGAAGAAGGGCTGACGAGTTCCAGCCGCGTTAAGGGGAGAGGGAGGGACGGTAGACGGGAAGGCGAAGCCTGGGGATCGGTGAACGGAACTGGGCGAGGGCGGCCGAGGTGCGCTCTCGGGGCCTGGCGGAGTCGCGTTCGGTGGGGGCTCTTTCCGTGGAGGGGGCGGCCGCAGGGCGCGCGGACGGCTCCCCCCCCACACACACCTTTCGCTTATCTGCCCTTT